TGCATGGGGAGGGGCAGGGTCCTCACTGTACCTTGTTTTCACACGCAGTAGAATAGGGGTGCTTTGCCTGTGTGAAGATTAGGAAGACAGTCATCCCTGGTGGCACGAATCTAGTAAGAATTTGCAGAGTAATGGAGGGGAGAGGATGGAATAAATAGTGGCATGGCAAAGCCAGATAAATTGGGGAAAGAGAAAAAGGAAAGCAACAACAAAGTGAACTAAATAATAACTGCATGTAAGAAGGAAGAAATAAGACAAAGATAGCAATTGTTTTCATGGAAGCGAATTGACTGAATCCCTTGATTAAAAGACAGGGATTCTGAGTTAAGAAACAAAGCTTGAAGGCTCTGACCTGTTTGCCAGAATCTCACCTAGAGGGAAATGATTAAGAAAGGTCAGAAATAAAGATGTGGACAGAAAGGTGCCTGGAAAACTGCCCCAGCCCACAACACAATCACAACAGCACCACAAGAGGGGCAAGAGTGATACCAAAGTGGGCTTGAGGATGAATGACATTGAATGGGGTGGCACCGATGCCGAGATGGATGCAGCGTGAATAACAGCCACAAGTTCCATCTGTTGGACTCTTCTCATGTACACAGTGCTAGGACTTCAAAGAAGGAAGCCATGTAGTCCTCATCACAGCCTCTGAAAGCAGATAATGTCATGATCCCCATTTTACAGGGGCATAAATCAAGGCCTAGAGCACTTGAGCAGCTTGTTCAAGGCTTCCAAGTTGAAACCTCTTACCCTTAACCAGCACGATCTTCTTGCCCCTTAGTTCATGGGCAAAACACAACATTCTCCTGGGCCAGACCTGATGGGGAGCCCAGTCCCTCTTTGCTACGTGGCCTTTTGGGGGATATAACCCACTTTAACACTTCACAGAATTTTCAAAATACACCAACTGATTTTTTTCCCCCCAAGGGAATAATTCCATCTCATTAATCAGGGCCCTCTCTCCTGCCTGAACCTTTAATTCCTGAGATGAAGTCACTTCTAAACTCGCTCGGGCCCTGCCTCCTCGATGCTTTAAGATTCAGACTCTTGCTCATCAAACCTTGACGACCAGAATCAATAGTTTTATTTTTCATGTGGGACTCACAAGTACCTCCAGCTCCATTAAGATTTCCTCACATCAAAAACATCTACATGGGAGCAGAAGCTCAACATGATTAAAATAATCCAGTCTTTATGAGCTGGCATCAAGTTAATGATAAGATAATTCAATTAATTAAAAGTAAAACGCAATTAAAGGAAAGGGATTTTGCAGAAGTTCATCAATAGCTTGGCTTCGCTGAGATGATCTATTAGACTAGATTTTTGCTTCTCATAGGAGTATGTGGAGCTGAAATAAACTCAGAACTTTCTCTCTCTTTTCCTTTTATTAAGTCATATACACGTAGATCATGAAAACATTTATGCATTTGTGGGTTACCATGTGTTGATTTTTTTATACAATTTGGAATGCTTACATCAAAATAATTAATGTAGCTTTCACCTCATTTGCTTCATTATTGCGTTAAGACATTTATGTTCTATACTTGATAGATTTGACTTGTACCCTTGCAATATGCTCCATAGGTGTGGTCTCACCGTTTACCCTCCCTCTTGATAGAGGGAGCATTCTCTACTTTAAATGGTAGTTTATACTGCAGATTTCACCTCATCTTAGATTTGTCGATGTATTATGTATGTTGTTCCAAATAAATAAGAAATATCGCTACCAAAGGAGGGTAGGGGCTCCATGGCAGAGACATACTGTAGATTCAGAAAACAACAACCAACGTATACAATATTTAATGTGCTTGGTTGGTATCTAATTATCTTGATATTGAATTACTAATAAAACCCAAAAGGCTTTAAATATCTGATATTGATAAGAAGGTCATTATCACTGAGCATTTACTTACTACTTGTACCAATTTCAGTTAATTATATGACAATGAGATTTATTGCTTATGAAAACCTCTGTCCTCTTCTGACAGTTAATTGATGGCTAATCAACATAGGTCATCTCATTAAATTCCTGTTACGGCATTAGCAGGGAGATGGGGCTGGGGGCCCTCCCTGCCTCAGCATTGCTTTCGAGTATCCTGGGGCATTTTGGAGAGGTATCTATGCTAAGACAGCTTGTGAACCATGAAGTGCACCCCCACTCAAGCTGTGCGGGGTGTGTGTTGGTGAGGACTTCTGGTTGCTGTGAGTGCATGTGTGAACACCTCCAAATGCTGCTACCTTTTCTTCATGGGAAGGCCCTACTGTGTAGTCATCATAACCATTGCTCTTGTGGGCACAAGGGAACACATACTGGATGGCTCCATTTATCTAAAAGTCAAGGCAATGTAACCGAGCAGGAAGCAGAAGAGGAGACACTCAGGGATGGGGACAGAGGGAGAGATTATCAAGAACTTTTGGGGATGATAGATGTGTTTATCTTCTTGATGGTAGCAATGGTTTTGTAGGGGCATGTACACATATCAAATCTCATCAGACTGTCCACCTTCAGTGTGTGAAGTTTAGTATATGTTGATTATATCTCAATAAAACTAAAACAATTAATGAAATATGGTCAAAAAAATAAAAAAAGAACAAGGCTTCTGAATTCAATCTGGATTCTAACCTTGGCTTCCCTGCATCCTAGCTGGGATGAACTTGGGTAAGCTATGTTAGCTCTCCATGCCTCAGTTTCTTCATCTGTAAAATGGGAATCATAATATGACTACCTCAGTTGTGCAAATGAGTAAGATAGTAATTGAGATAAAAATGTGGAAAGCCTTCATGACAGTGCCTAAAATATTTACATGGCTCAATGAAAGATCCCTGTTCTTACTGTTGTCATGGGGCATGCCTGGGGGCTCCTATATACATTTCTGTGCATTTCTCTATCTTTGAAGATCTGTGCTGTTTATGTATCTGGGCTGGAGATTGGTGCTGGGTATAGGCAGTGGGCTCAGGCCTGAACCCTCCCTCCTCCTCGCCAGCCACCACAGCCTTCCCTTCCTCCTCCACCAGATTGCATGGGTATCGCTTTTTTTTTTTTTTTAAACAGTCACTAAACTGCTACATTTACTGACTCATTCAGTTTTTTATCATATCCAATAACACAGTGCGTTTTGGAAATCACATTGCCTCGGTTCCTTCATGGCTTCTGCAAATCAAATTTATTTTACCATTGGAAATGTCAAAAGGATTCAGCCAAAGGAAACCTGGTACTTTCTGGGGTATAGGACCCTGAAGCTGGCTCTCAGACTGCAGGGAAGGGGACTAAAGCCCTCCCTTTCCAAATGGATTCAATGTGTGTGATTTCCTTAAAGTTAGGAGGGAGTCTCGGTGGAGAATAGAGTCGTCAGTCCTCTCTGGAGCAGAGTCACACGGGAGGGGGAGAATTAGCAGAGACCTTTGGGGACCAACATGATGTCACCAGCTTGCACTGCTCTGAGCCGGGGGCAGGATAAGAGGACCTCAGAGTCCTGGTCCTTAGGGAATCACAGATGAGAGGGGCAGAGGCCCAGGCCTGCCTCTGAGCACACAGGGTGGCTCTCCAAGCCAGGTCTGCATGCATGGTGCAATGATTTGAAGACAGTGCTGACAGGGTGAACATCAAGGCCCCACTGGTCCAGGTTTGAGTCCCAGCTCTGCCACTCACCAGCTGTGCGGTCCTTTTTAGTTCACTTAACTTCTCTGAGAGTCTCATCTGTGAAATGGAGAGGAGGGTGCCTCACGCTGGGCTCCACTGCTGGGTTCTCTACTATGTACATGTTGAATCAGAATTTGAGTCTAGACCTAGTCAGGAGATTTGGGCATCTGTTATGTTGTTGTTGATTATTAATACATAATTATACATGTTTATGTGTGATGTTTGAATGCAGATATCTTATGATCATATCAGAGTGCTTCATGAATTTGCATGTTACCCTTGCATAAGGGCCATACCAATCTTCTCTGTCTTGCTCCCATTTTTGTATGTGTGCTGCCACAGCAAGCCCTCAGCCATCTTTACGAAAAGACCATGGGTATACAAGGCCACAAAGGCCACATGGCTCAGATGCTGGGGGAGTTGGTTTTCCAGGTTTTTGGGGGTGAGAAGCAGCTGTACAGGGAGGATAAAGCTCTGGATGCCTGCATGGAGCACCTGCTGTGTGCCAGGGCCTATCCCTGGGGATACAAATAGAAATAGGCAGGTCACTGACTTCCAGGAACTCGTCACCCTACTGAGTCATGGGCACCTGGAACTCCCAGGACTCCAGGGTCTGTGTTAGTGAAACAGCTGAATGGGGCAGAGCATGAGGTAGAAACATCTGAGTTCTGGTAGAAGAGGTGCCCCAGGGGGTCCTCCTGAGACTGACACTGGCGATTGGATGACAGGTGCATACAGTGGTCAGCAATAGAGGCAGAAGTATGGCCAGGCATGGGCTGGAGATGGGGTCAGGAAAGATGAGGCTGAAAGATGAGACCATGAAGAGCTCTCATGGTCAGAGACAGCTCTTCATGGTCCTTACATCAAACAAAGATGCAGGCTTTGACCCGCATGGATATTTGTAGATGTTTGGAGCTGGGTGAACCTGAAGTCCCTAAGATCATCTCTGTGCAATGACTTGCCAGGAAGACTCATGGAACTCAGCACATAGTTGCACTCACAAGTGAGATGCATCACAGTGAACAGACACAGAACACAAACCACAGAGAGGAACGGCACACAGGGGAAGTCTGGGGAAGACCAGGCGCAAGCTTCCCAGGGTCCTCCCCCAGTGGAGTCACGCAGGACGTGCTCAATTACCCCAGCCAGGGGCTGTGACAACATGTATGAGATACTGTCTCCCAGGGAAGCTCATTAGAGTCTTAGTGCCCAGTGATTTTATTAGGGGGCTAACACCAAAATGCCAGACTCCCAGAAGGAAAGCAGGTGTTTGGCTTAAGCCATGTTGCTTGCACAGCTTAAGCACAGTAAGCCCTTTCTGCTAGGGTGGGAACCCTGCTATCATCTGAGTTTCCAGATACCAGCTAAAAGCTAACTTGTAAGTGGGCTTCTGTAAGGTAGCAGTCTCAGGCCTGCTTTGCTAACTCTTCTCTGCACACAGGGGCCTAACGCAGTGAGGTTGGCCAGGAGACACATGTGAAAGGTGGATTAGGGAGGGATCCAGGCCAAACTGGAGGCAGGGAGACCCGTGAGAGAGCCTGAGCAAGTGTCTTCTGGAACGAAGATGTGGCCTGGCTTAGGGCAGCTGCCTTAATTAGACTTTTGGTTGTCAGTACCCATGTCAGAGGGTGGCTCAAGAAAATAAAGGAATATTTAGTACATGGAGTCACAATGTTTTGCAGAACTAACTCAAGAGCCAAACTTCCCAGCGAACCACTATGAGACCAGAATTGGTACCTGCGAAGCCATCAGGACAGAGAACAGGCTTCTCTTGGCTTTCTCTCTCTGGGACTATGAGATTTCTCTTCCTGCTCCTCTTTGTCCATCCTCCTTAGTCCCCTATTTCTATAGCTTGACTTTCTTTATGTTTTTATGTAGTAGAAAGACCTCACTGCTCTCCTGTTTCCATATTCTCTGTTTATGAGCACCTGAGACTAACATCCCTCTCTTAATTGCAATCACAATTTCCTGGGAGAGGGAATCCGATTGGAGTACCATGGGAGAAGTTTCCTCTCACTCCGCTTAACCAGGACTGGAGAATGGGGACTGGGAATTGGATAGTGTTAGCGTGGCTGCCCCACGGGTTTTTACAGGAGGTGAGAAAGAGAATGGGTTCCTGAATCCCAAGTGGTGACCGGTCATTTGAGACAAATCTGATGACTTTGAATTCAGTTAGGGAGACAAAAAAAGTAACCGGAAAATCCAGAAGGTGTGAATTTGTCATCGTATTAGTGGAAAAATTATAGAAAAAAATTCTGCAGTGATCATAAAATCGAAGGTAGTTATAACTTTGATAGTAGGTTCTGCTCTCCAGTGAAACACATCCCACTACTTCTGTTCTGGTGGTTGTGAGAAGTGAGAGGTCAGGAACACACAAACTATTCTCACCATCACTACATGGCACTTGTCTTAGTCTGTTTTGTGTTGCTATAAAGGAATACTTGAGGCTGAGTAATTTATAAAGAAAAGTGGTTTATTTGGCTCACAGTTCTGCAAGTTTTACAAGAAGCAACTGCAGGCATCTGCTTTTGGTGATGGCCTGAGGGTGCTTCCACTCATGGCCCAAGGTGAAGGGGAGCTGGTATCCATGGTGACAGGAAGGAAGAGAGAGAAAGAGGGGAGGGGGGTACCAGGTTCTTGTTAACAGCTAGTTCTTGTCAAGCATGTGCTCTACTTTGAAGAGGGTGTCTAGTTCCAAACACAAATGTGAGTGTTTGAGGTGATGGATATGCCAATTATCCCGATTGGATCATAACACACTGTATACGGGTATTGGATATCACACGTACCCCAAACTTGTGCAACTATTATATATCAATAAAAATTGATATAAAAGCACATAGGTGGGTAAGTGGTGTGATTTAGTGACCTAACAGAAGAGCACCAGATAGGGTCTTTTAGTCACAAGCAACAGAAATGAACTTTGGGTCACTTAAGCAAGAAAAAAAGGGGATATTTGGAAGGATTCGGGGCAACTCACAGAATCAAAGAAAAACGGAAACATCAGGCTTTGGAAAACTCAGGATCCAGTGAGCAGGAGAGAAGGGATGGAGGGCTTCAGGATCAGAACAGGATGGAGATGTCCCGATGTGATTGAGCGTGTATGTGTTTGTGGAGGTATCCCTGTGTGTGTGTGTAATCAGAGAGCACTTTGGAACTCTATCTTGGGCCTGATCTTTTTTTGCCAAAATGCAGATCAATATTTTTGTTGCCAGTTAATTTAATTTCTTTTAAGTGAGAAGACGTTATACTCAGCACTGCCGCGGGGGGGAGTTTCTGACAGTAAGAGGGCTGTACCTTGCCCAGCCCAGTGGCTAGCAGACCCATTCCCATTGCTTTGAGACCACCTAGCTGCTCACAGGAGAGTCGCAATGTTTGTGAAGAAGTTGGGTGAGGCAGTGGTTATGGGGCTGGCCAGGGACCATTCTGTCTGCCCTGGGAGGGGGTCATCTGGTCACAAATCAGTTCTGTGCTTGTCCCTGCTCTCAAATCCTTGGTTTGGATTCTGAGAACCTTCCAATAACTACACTCTGGGCATTCAAGCTAAGCCACTAGCTAATTCCTATGAACATAGCTTAGCTCTAGGTTCAACCTTTCGTTGCCAAGGCTGAAGGGAATGGCTGAGACTTGGCCTGCCAAGGTTAGGACTCTTTTTATTAGGCTGAAGGGGAAATATATGAGGCCTCCTTGTAATGAAAGGAGCCCTTCAGGTTACTGCTTGGGGGTATCTGACAGGGAGGCCTGGCGGGACCTGGGCTCCAGGGCGGCATCAGTTGGGAATGAGGCTGCTCAATCTCTCTGCCTGTGCCAGGCACTCTGAGGACCTATTTTGTGAATTCAACTCAATTTAGGCAGCATCCAGTCACTCTGGCTCTCAGACTGCAGGCAGACGAGCGAGGGCCACGTCCCACCTCCCCCATGTCCACGCCCGCCAACCAGAGACCACCAGAAACACATGTAGCCTAACAAAGTTGGATTTGATCGAGTGACTATAAGAGAGAACACCTGCTCCAGGAAACAGGCATCCCAGTAAAAGAGGTTCGTGAGGCCTCGTGGGATTTGGGCTCCTCTTAGGTGGCTTGGGGCAGGGTTCAAGGCAGTGGAGATTTGCTGGGGGTTGGATGCTTAGGAAGGTAATTCTGGGATATGGTATCTTAGTAATTCTTTCCTATAAGGTGAGAAGAACAGAGAGTAGCTAAGGCTGCAATGAATGAAGAAGCAATGTGGTAGTCAGGATTGGGAGATATTTGATGATTTTCATGGTGGGATTTATGTTCTTTCTGTGTTCAAACATAACTATGAGGGGTCTGTTTTATGTCTTGAGGGAACTCCGGGTCCAGTGCTGATGCCCTGTAACACTGTTCACCTTCAATAGGAGAGGAGACTCGGCTGAGAATGCCAGCCCAGCTTTGGGTTGGAGGGCTACTTGCATCTCGCTCACCCTGAAGTGCTCCCTGGAGTTTCATTTTGTCTTCTCTGTGTATGTATGTCCCGGGTATTGGGCGTCCAGGAAGCCAGAGTCACCACCCCAGAGAAGCTGAGAAGCTCTCAGTCTTAGAATGGAGATAGGCTTATCTCTCATCTTGGTGATATCTCAGTTCACAAACTCAGCTGTGCCCCAAAACAAAATTTTATTTTTCTATAATTCAGCCCAATTTCTGTTTCAAGCTTTCCATTCAGCTGGGTGGTAGAAACTTATTATCAACGGCTATGGTCTGAATGTTTGTGTCTCCCTCCTAAATTTATATGTTGAAATCCCCCAAGGCAATGGTATGAGGAGGTGGGGGCCTTCAGGAGGTGATTAGGTCATGGGGGTGGAGCCCTCAGGGATGGGATTAGTGCCCTAGAAGAGAAGCCCAGAGCTGCCTGGTGTCTTCCACCATGTGAAGACACAGCAAGAAGACACTGGATACAGGCACACACCCACCACACACTGAATCTTCTAGTGCCTTGATCTTGGATTTTGCAGCCTTCAGAGTTGTGAGAAATAAATTTCTATTGTTTATTAGCCACCTGGGTTATGCTATTTCGTTATGGCAACTGGAACAGACTAAGAAATCAGTCATTGTCTTCCAGGACTTCTCTATGACTACACCTCTATGTTCAGGAAGACTGAGATAGTGGTAGGGTCAGGGCTGACAACTTAAAGCAAAAATTCTGTGAAGGTGGGGGGAGGGGGAAAAAGAATGGATATTAAGAGGAGGTGAAAGTATACCATAGTCTGGTCCTAGTCAAACAGGCAGATGTATCTAGAGATTTATGCTGGGCATTGCTTAAAAAAAC